CCACTGCGGTGCCTCTGTGCTCCGCGGCAGCAGCACCGCCGCCACCATGGGCCAGATAAAATGGCTTGGCGGGCCACATGGCGGCCCGTGGGCCATATGTTGGACAAGCCTGGTTTAAATGTTACCTTTTCTACATCAATTCATTTTTTAGATATATGTTTATTCTTGCATTTCACTATTTAATCCTAGTCTTGCCATCTTTTTAAAATAATGTAATCTTATAAAACATATTAGACGTCTAATATTAAGCAGGCATAATATAAATCAGGGGTGTCAAAGATATGGCCTACAGGTTGGATCTAGCCTGAAGAGCCTTAACATCCAGCCTGTGGTGCCACTTGTGGGTCTTGACTGGCTTGGCATGCTGCATGAAGTACACATTGGCCCCAGTACCTCATATCCTTTGTGGCACATGAAGCAGATCCTGTGCATGCTGCTAGATAAATTATTTCATCTAGTCTGGATGAAGCCAGTGCATGTGCTAGAGGCAGCCTGCAGGGTGGTTCAGTCTGGGGTGCATGCTGCATTGCAGCGCTTGTGCCGGACTAGCCCAGCATGTTGGATCTGGCTCACGAGGCTGTCTGGATAAGGCCTCTGGGGCCTAATGAATTTGATACCCCCAGATTTGATACCTGGGAAGCCCAGGTAAGCATCAACATCCTGGGAGTAGGGGGGCACAACTGTCCTGGGAGTGGGAGGGAGGCACGGGCACCCTCAGGAGGCCTCAGGTGCCTCTACAATAATGCTCATAGTATGGGGGATAAGCAGGAGGAACTGTGCGTCCTGATTGCGAATAAGAACCCCAACTTAGTAGGGCTCACAGAAACCTGGTGGGACCCTACCCATGACTGGGCGGTGGGCATTCAGGGATACACCCTATATAGAAGAGACAGGACAGAGAGGAAAAGTCGGGGGGTAGCGCTGTCAGGTGCCTCTACAATAATGCTCATAGTATGGGGGATAAGCAGGAGGAACTGTGCGTCCTGATTGCGAATAAGAACCCCAACTTAGTAGGGCTCACAGAAACCTGGTGGGACCCTACCCATGACTGGGCGGTGGGCATTCAGGGATACACCCTATATAGAAGAGACAGGACAGAGAGGAAAAGTCGGGGGGTAGCGCTGTATGTCAAAGAGCACCTCACTTCATCAAGGATTAGCTTCGGGTT